TCAATATGATTTTCCTGCAGGGAAGGACAATTGCTGGAGGCATCCATTCAGCAATCCTGTTCTATCCCCTACCCTACATTTCGTCCTTTGTATTTTTTGTGATATTTTGTTAGGCATATTTTTTGTTAGATGCATATAGTTGACTTTTGGTTTTCAATGGAGAAAGCAGTTGTAGGTTAATAGGGATGCCAGTCCTTACCTTTTTTTGACATACCAGGTGCTTGCTCTTCTATGATCTCACTTTATGAATTGTGTCATTTATAGTTTTGCTTTATTTGTTTCTACAGGCTGATTTATGTAATATGTTCTCTTTGTTGTTAATATCTTAGTTGACACAGAAAGAATCCAATCCCAGATCAACTTTATAAATAAGAATAAGAAAATAATTATTGAAAGCAAATTACTGACCCTAATTTTTCCTTCTATCTCCCTGTTTTTAGCCCATTCATCAGCATAGGTTTATAGGTGTAGAATAAGGACAATTTCACGTGTTTCTCAGGCTTTGCAATATCTGCTGAAACTTTATTTTATTGTATTATATGGTATTATTTTTTATTTATTTTACATTTGTATTTTTTGAGACAGAGTCTCGCTCTGTCACCCAGGCTGGAGTGGAGTGGCACCATCTTGGCTCGCTGCAACCTCTGCCCCCTGGGTTCAAGCGATTCTCCCGCTTCAGCCTCCTAAGTAGCTGGATCAATAGGCACATCCATCATGCCAGGCTAACTTTTGTATTTTTAGTAGAGATGAGGTTTCACCGTATTGTCCAAGCTGATCTTGAACTCCTGACCTCAGGTGATCCGCCCACCTCAGCCTCCCAAAGTGTTGGGATTACAGGCGTGAGCCACCACACCAGGCCTGTTTTTATTATATATTGTTGGCAGGCTTTTCCCCTGGGCAGACTGCAGCAAATTTCACATTTACCAGATATTGCTACCTAAGAAATGTAGGATTGAATTCTTCCCCATTATTTGTTGTAAGCGATCCTCCAGGAAAGACTCAATCTGCTAACACAAAGTTTCCTGAAAGAGAGCAGCACTGACTGACAGCCTCTCCAGTGTTTTTGAAAAACAAAAGCTATGACTATGAAATAAAAACTGCCTGGTACAGAAGCGGAAGAAAAAAGCTGATCTACATCCAGGAGAAAGAAGTATACCATTTTCTTAGTTCTGCACATATATCCAATTTGGAAATGTGTAGCTTCCTTAGGTTTCCATGAGATTTTTCTGTTGAATCTTTGCATTCAAAAAGGTATATAACAATGGATTTGTTTTTACTACAACAAGGGGTCATTTTCCCCATTTAAACACCATAGGCCTTTCCTATTGTTCTCTGGCATCCACTACTGCAGAGAGCAGACTATAATCAGCCTGGCTGCCTTACATACATTATTACAATTTTTATCTATCTGAATTCTCATGCAGATTTTTCATTGGCTTATTAAATTACATATGTTTTTCAAAATGAGTCATAGTTGAGCATCTCTTTTCACTGTGATAGTCTGAAATTACAGTGAAGTCCATAAATTAGCTTCTCTGTTACTTAATTTTTATAAATTACCCTTAGCCATGTGTTTGATTATTATTTCTATGTCATATGTTCTGATTTCTCACTTTTGTGCATATATAAATGCTAAACTGGAAATGCATTTTCTTTATGTCATTCATACCTGTTGTTTTAAGTTACTTTTATCTGTATTCTAGGCAACTCATGACCATTTATGGTCAGATTATAGTGGTATATATAGATATATAGTGGTTTTAGGTTTTTTGGAGTCAGTTTTGCTCTTTAAAACTTTCCATAAAGTTTTAAATTTTGATATCATAATGTTAGGTTTATTAACACCACATCAGAACTAAAACATTTTTGAAAATTGGAATACTTATCTCTGGAGAGAAACTTGGAGCACACAGCTATTAAAAAGTTAGAGAGAAAGCTAATAAGAAAGAGATACACTGCTAATGATGAATTGGATATGTCTAATTGCATAGGAATTGAGAGGCATCTGTAATTTATCTCAATTTTTTAAGATGGCTCTGTTCAGTTTTTATCACACTTTTTAAACACAGTGTCCATATGTCTGACTTACCAAACTCAAGACCCCAATACGTAATGCAAGGGCACTTTTCGGTTACAATCACTTTATTTCCAGAATGTAACCTGAAATTTTAGTGGTGTTCTCAACATATCACACCATATTCCAGACGGCCATGACATTATACAAAACAAGACATCTGGATTTATTTACTCAGTTTGCCATTCACCCATTCATTCAGGTAACTCGTGCATCAACATTCTATAATATATGATACTCAACTGATTCTCAGGCATACAGATATGTAGAAAAAGTTTAAAAAAAACAACAAACAAACAAACAAAAAGACAACCAACACTTTGTTGCAATTCTCAATGAGTTCATAGTTTCCTTGTGGGAGATGATGAAACTAGCTGTATCATCATCTTCTAAAAGGTAAATTGGCAATAGTAACAGAGAGTGGTTGGAGAATAGAGTGAGGAAGATACAGTAACAATGTGATATCAGCAGGGACAATAGTGAATTGTCTCTATGGCTGGCCACTTCCATTCCTATATTCTTTAATTATTCAGAGAGTAGTACATATGTTTATTATGTTTAAATGATTGCATCATCTCTAAGGTGCGATGTAACTGAGTTTTTAAAACTCTTGACTAAAAAAAATTTCTAGGGAGTTATACTCCTGATCTGTGACACAAAGAAAGATTCTGTATAAAATCCATGTCACAGTACTTAATGCAGTAGGAAGGAATGCATTTCTGCTGTGAACTAAACATAAGCCAAGTCTCTTTACTGAAACGTACATCCTCAATTTTTCAGCTCTCAGTGACAATGTCTGATAAACATTTCAATTTGCGTTCCTTCTTGGCTAATTTAAATCCAGAAGGAGACACTTGTGTGCAAATGAGTGAATAATGTAAACCGTTTTTATCTTAATTTGCTGGTACCTGTTTGAATAATCTTCTCTTTTTCATCTCAATTAAATGAACATGGATGAGAAATAAATGTACGTAAACATGTTAAAGAGTGAAGGGAAATGTAAAATCTACACGGGGAAGAAGTTCGACTGTCTCCGTAAGAAAATTGAGGAGACAAAAATAAAAAAAAAAAGAACATGGCATAATAGAAAAGCAAATTAAACACCAATCTAAGCACTGGCACATATTTATATATAAAGTATTTGAAAAATAACTGTACCTTTTTTCTTTTCCATATTTAAAATATTATGTGTTTTCTGTGCATTTGGTGATTTTTTTAGGTTCATGGAGTGATTAATGTAGTTTTACAACAAATACTGTAAATCAAAGTGGATACAATGATAAAAACAAGCATAGATTCAAATTCTGGCTCTTCTATATGTCAACTGGATGACTTAGGAGAAACGAAGTAAACTAATGTTTGAAATAAACATGCTCATATTATCTTACAATAAGAAGGCATTGACTATTTTCTGCTAAGTGTTTACCTACATGCCTGGTAGAGATAATGATCAATATTGGTTTCATCAAATAAACACACACAAAAGCACACACACGCACACACACACGCTCGAGCCCATACACATGCAGGCGAGCCCAGATGCCCCTTTTTATTCTAGACAAAGTTTCTTTTCTGACTTTCAGTGCCATGAGAAGTCACTACCATTTAGAGAACTAACTCAATTGGGAGCTGGAGTCTGATACTTGCTCTTCTGCTTTGGGGCCTTATTAAAATTTTGATTTTCTAAATAATATGCAAGGCGTATCTTCAAATTTTGTAGAACTTTTGAGGTAAAGATCATACTTTCAATGCAAACAAGACAATCAAATCCAATCAGAGAGTCTTTTCTTAATTCAAAACACAGAAAGGAGCATTTTTTTTTCTATTCCAGAGGTAAAGATTTGAAGACACACCCTCAAATCACAATTAGAGATCAAGGAATAATAGAGGCAAAGTAAAGTTGGTAGATAGGTAGGTAGATAGATATGTAGATAGATAGGTAAATAGATTGGTCAATAGGTAGGTAGTTAGGTAGATAAATAGGTAGGTAGGTAGACAGGTAGATAGATGTGTAGATAGGTAAGTAGATTAAGTAGGTAAATAGGTAGATAGGTATGTAGGTAGGTAGGCAGGCAGATTAGATAGGTAGATAGATAGGTAGATAGAGAGGCAGATAGGTAGATTACATAAGTAGATAGATAGGTAGATAGGTATGTGGGTAGAGAACTAGGTAGATAGATAGGTAGGTAGATTACATAAGTAGATAGGTAGATAGGTAGGTAGGTTGGTAGGTAGGTAGGCAGATAGGTATGTAGTAGGGAGATAGATAGGATGGTAGGTAGGTAGGTAGGTAGGTAGGTGGATTAGATAAGTAGATAGGCAGGTATGTAGGTAGATAGGTAGACAGGTAGGTAAATAAATGGGTAGGCAGATAGGTAAATAAGTAGGTAGACAGGTATGTAGATAGATAGGTAGATAGGTATATAGACAGGTGGATAAGTAGGTAGATAAGTAGATAGACAGGTGGAGAGGTAGGTAGATTAGATAGGTAGATAGGTAGGTAGATAGGCAGATACGTAGATAGGTAGGAAAATAGGTAGGTAGGTAGATAGGTAGATAGGTAGGCAGACTAGATAGGTAGATAGGTAGTTAGGTACATAGGTAGGTAGTTAGATGGGTAGGTAGATAGGCAGATAGGTAGATAGGTAGGTAGATAGGCCGATAGGTAGACTAGATAGGCAGATACGTAGGTAGATAGGTAGGTAAATTTTGAAATTAAATTTCTTATGTAGAAATTTCCAGATCTGTAGGGCAAGTAATATCTTTCTAAATCTCATTTTGTTTCAGACTTTGTTGCTGAAAATTTTATATACAATGAAATAAATATATGACATGTAGCCATATGTACATATATTACTTTGCATATGTGTGCACATATATATGTATGTGCGCGCATATATGTATGTGTGTACATACATATGTACATGTGTTTACATATATGTGTACATATATGTACATGTGTACGTGTGTACATGTGTACGTGTGTGCATATATGTACATATGTGTACGTGTGCGTACATACATATGTATATGTGTGTGCATGTGTGTGCATATATGCGTACATATCTATGTGTGTACTAACATGTGCATGTGTGTACATATATGTGTGCATATATATGTACGTATGTGCACGTGCGTGCACATACATGTGTACATGTGTGCACATATATGTGTGCGTGTGTACGTGTGTGCATATATGTACATATGTGTGCGTGTGTGCGCGTATATGTGTACATGTGTGTGCATATGTGTGCATATATATGTACATGTGTGTGCGTGCGTGTACATATATGTGCGCATGTTTTGCGTATGTGTGCATGTGTGTGCATATGTGTGCGTGCGTGTACATATCTGTGTACATGTGTGTGCATACGTGTACGTGTGTGTGCATATATGTGTGCGTGTGTGTGCATGTGTGTACGTGTGTGTACATATATGTGCGTGTGCATACATATATGTGTGCATATGTGTGCATGTGTGTACATGTGTGTACATGTATGTGCGCATGTGTGTACATATGTGTGTGCATGTGCGTGCACATATATGCGCACATGTGTATATATGTGTGCATGTGTACATGTGTGTGCATATATGTGTGCATATGTGTACACATATGTGTGCGTGTGTGCATGCATGTGTACATGTGTGTACATATATATGTACGTATGTACATGTATTTCTGCTTTAACCCAATAGTTTCTAAAACAAAGGTTAACAAACTCAGATTTCAGTAGTGACAGAATATCTTCATTTTAACAAGTCTCACTTCCTTCTGAAGATACTGATGTATAAATTCAGGATATGACAATCTCCTAAAATCCTGTAATCTTCTCATATCTGCCGACATTTTTGAAAAGTATGTTTGTTTTTCTGGAATATAACTATTTCTCTAGAAAGTAAAAAATTGTGAGTAACTAAAATCTAAGAAAAATACATAAGAAAAATACAAATTCATTAGTACTTCACTATTTCAAAACCATTATAAAGTAAAAATACAGAATATCATGAGTATGCAAAACATTTTAAATTTTGCTTACCTCCCTCCCAAAGGAAAAGCAGACTTAACACTGTAGCTCTGCTGAAAAAGGATACTGAATGGAAAAGAAGAGAAAGAAAAAATAAAATAATTATTTGGAGAAGGAAGCAAAATCTGAAAAGATACGATAATGACTTGCTGAAGTATATATGATAATGTAACCACTATATTTATCTTCTTTATACAGTTTATTTGAGATATAAAATATGTACATAGATATATTTTCACATATACATCTTGTGTAGTGGGAAGAAAGAAAACAAGAGAGCTTTTGATATTTTGATAAAAATGATTTCTGTCCTTCTGTGTCATTTTGTGCACATTCCTAATGCAATATCACAATGGACTATTTGTTTATTAATATGACTTTTGTTTTGATTGTCATTGCCCTAAGAGCAGGTAGCAGAATGTCTTATTTCTTATGAAATTATTTATTATCTCCATGCTTGGTATACATATTAAATATCTGTTAAATAAATTATTAAAGCAACGAATACCAACATATCATGTAGGAAATATTTCTTAATCCTAAATCCTTCTCAGTAACAGCCTATTTATATATGCATATTTTAAGAAAAAGACATCCGATTAAGATAAAATTTTTTATTCTGACCTCTTTGAAGTCAGCCTGGCATGAGAGCCTCTCCGAACTGTATGTTCACATTTATGACTTCTTAAGGATGAAGTTATCCTATTGCCCTAACCAGACTTTGCATAGCTACTAAGTATTAAATAGATCCCAGATTGAGCATGATATTAATTCTTTTTACAAGAAAACAATAATTTAATTATAATGGGCAGAGATCTTGGCATACGTATCACATCATACAGAGCAATAAACAATATCAGAAATGTCTTTCTCTTTTCATTAACTTCCAAAGGAATGAAAGCGTCTTTGCTTCTATTGCTATCATTCATTTATCATTGTCCTATTTTTATGTGTAAAAATTAGAAATCTACGAACCAAAGATTGCATTTATTTTGAATTAAAACAGAAGAGGGCATCTGCTATGTGACACCACGGAGTGCCAGACACAAACATCGACCTAGGATATGGAGAAGGGCAGGAGATTTTGTCAGTGAGTTGATACAAATGCATTTTCTGATTTCTGGTGTTTACCAAATGTTCCTGCTATGGCTTCTTCGTCCTCTCCAAGCCTCATGTTGGAATTCGACCGCAGTCTTGGACATGGGATCAAACGGGAAGAGTTTCGTTCATGGGGGAGGATTTCTCATGAATAGATTAATATCATCCATTAATGGCGACTGGATTCTTGCTCTGTTATGTTCCCATATAAACTGGTGCTTGAAAACAGCCTGGCACAACCTCTGTCCCTACTTCCTCTCTAGCCATGTATCTCTGAACATGCTGACCCCTCTTTACTTTCTGCCATGAGTAGAGGCAACCTGAAGCCCTTAGCAGATGCAGATGTCAATGTCATGCTTCTTGCACAGTCTGCAGATCCATGAGTCAAATAAACTTCTGTGTAAATTACCCAACCTCAGGTATTTGTTTATGGTAACATCAAGTAGACTATGGCAGCTCCTTATTCCTTTTTTTTTTATAACCATATTGTTCCCACCCACACTAGTTGAGTGCCATCCTATCTTTCCAATTGATTAACAATATCCAAAATGAGAACAAGGTCATTACATTGCTTGGAGTAGATGCAGGAAATCCACAGTTGAATTCCTAATATGCAAACCTCTAGGCTAACAGAGATGCTCATAGACCCTTTTTTTTTTTTTATGGTAGTTGGGCCAAAAGAAAAATCTAAAGAAGGCAGAGGGAGTTCTAGTGAAACACTCACAGGAGTATGTTTCTTTTCTCTGGCAGAGCTTTTAACTCTTTGCTGTGGTTTCTTCTCTGCGCAGATCTCATAAAATTTCCTTGATCTTTCTAAACCATTTAGAAAATAGTGCTTATTTAAATCTTTAAACCTGTCATGTCAGGGAGTGTTTTCATGATATGTGAGTATAAAGAAAAGTGTGATGTGGATGTGGGTGTTTGCGCCCTTGTGTGTGTGAGTGTGTCAGGGATGGAGTAGGAGAGTTTGGTCAATAAAAAGCACACTTTATTAGGAGTGAACAAGCCTGCCTTGTGGTTGCTGGTAAGGATAATTTACAATTTATCAGCTTTGGGTCTCTTCTAGTCACAGGCCCTCCAACATTACAATGAAGGAACTGGAACACAGTAAATCTATTATGGATTTCAATTCTGAACTTCTATAATCCTAACACGTAGATACAGAGTAAACCCTATTTTAAACTGTTTGACTCACTAAGAATTTTTCACAGCTGACATTCTAGTAAGCTTACCCTTCAATAACATAGAGTTGAACTGCATGGGTCCACATTTACACAGATTTTCTTCTACCTCTGCTCACCTAAAGCAACAAGACCAACCTTTCTTCTTCCTCCTCCTCCTTAGCCTACTCAATATGAATACAATGAAAATGAAGACATTAAAGAAGATCCACTTCCACTTAATGACTAGGAAACATATTTTTTATTTCTGATTATATTTTTAATAACATTTTCTTTGATCTAGCTTACTTTACTGTAAGAATACAGTATATAATATATAACATACAAAATACGGTTTTTCAACTGTTTATGTTACTGGTAAGGCTTCCAGTGAAGAGTAGGCTATCAGTAGTAAGTTTTTGGGAGGGTCAAAAGTTATACAAGGATTTTCAACTGATAGGGGTTACTACCTCTAACTCCTGCATTGTTCAAGGATCAACCATATTTTCCTGTAACATGTCAATCCTAAGTGTCTACATGATTCAGACTGTGGGACTTGAGTAACTATGCTTGCTAGAAATATATTACTTGTCATTCACTGCTCTCTATGTCCTACCTTACAGTCATTTGTAAGCAATACTGATGTATTATTTGTATATCAGTGAGAATATAAACTATGCCTTTTTAATATTCATGTCTTTACAAACTTCCCTCTATTCCCATGTTTGTACTTAGCTGAGTAGAAAAAGCGAGCTGTGCGTGGATGAAATTTTATCAGCTGGTAGAATTTGAGAGGTGGTATAGTCAGGGTAGGAATTTTTGAAATCAGAGAGATCTTGGCTTGAAATTTGCTCTGCCACTCATTGGTTGTGGGGCTTGAGCAGATTGCCCATAGCATTGTTATTAGGATTCCATTAAATAATCTAGGTGTGTAATTTATTTACTTGCATGATCTGTGTGGAGAGCAGAACAAAGCTAAAATTTATTGAACTAAATTGGAAGCCAAACAAACAAACAAACAAACAAAAAACAATCCCTGCTTGCATTTGTCAGCAATGTGTAAATTTTATTGGGCAAATTGGAAAGGTCTGATGCCAAATTAAGGCAATTGGAGCTTACAAAGGAGAAGAGCTAGAAAAAGAGAACACTATTAGGGTAATTTCTGCTATAGACTCAGTCAATATAAATGGCTCAATTATTTTTAATTAAAAAAATCTACAAAGGTTGTATGTATTGATGTCTAAAGCAAATACATGGATCTTTTTGCAAATTGATGGTCTCTGTGAAAGTTTTTACAAATTTTATCAATATAAAAACCACAAGAGAAATTCCAAGGAAGGAAGCAAGGACTGGGTAGACATGCAAACACTCTTAGATCTCACCATAATACATCAAGTGCTATTTTAATACATCGGACCTATAGCCACATGAGAAGAAGAATTCTAAATGCAAAATAGCCATGTGAAAGAAGAATAAATAGAAGCTAGCAGGACTTTTAAGACAATATAGGATAAAATATCCTGTCCTACCATTTATAGATTGTATACGGATGCAGGGATTTCATATGGAGCTGTATTAAGCTAAATAAACTTTTAAAAGCTGAAATAAATGCAATGTTGTCTTATTAAGGGCTTATCCCTCTTTTACTGAAAGGTGTATGAAATAATACTTAACATCTGGATTTTTCCCTTATTTAGACTTTATGTTGTAGAATCTTCCTTTCAGAGTTTGGGAGAGAGGAGCACTCATGTAAGCAACTTTAAACACTAGGGTTGTGAGATCTCTAATCCATTTCAGTCTATTCAAGAATCTATCTGATTTATGGGATGTGGTGTTGATCCAAGTATTTGTACTTTAGTTTCTTCATGATGTAATGGAGGCATCATTTAAAGCCAGAGAAAATCAAATCTGACCTCAGAGTCTCTATAATCTGCTCTAACAAGCATAGCATCCTCATCCTTTAGATTTCTTAAACTTCAAGTTGGAGATAAAGTGACCTTCTCTAGGACATTGTATGTCAAACACATATCTGGTAGCATAGTACTTATTCTATATGATCTATCTGTTTAATTTGCTGAAGCCTCATAAAAAATATAAGTGGCGGGGGGGGGGCTCAAACACAGTACATTATGCCTTGGTATACTTTGGCTCCATTTCAGAAAATTATATATAACAAAATAAACCATCTGATAGTCATTCTCATTTTCTTGGTAAATGATTTTGACCATCCACTGTAGTCTATCTGCTCAGACTTGCACACACATTCCATTATTTTAAGTTGAAAAATATCTTGCACATTATATTCTTATGTTCACTACATTTTTTCCAACACTCAGAATAATGCCTATCACACAATAAACACTTAGCAAATATTTTTAAATTCACGTATACTTGATTTTTATAATCTTTCTTCATGTGGACTCTGAAAATCATGACCAGTTGGGTTTAAGTCCTAGACCAGATATTATATTGGACAAGTGACTTAACTTCCCTGAGATTCTATTTCCTCATAAATGCCATCTTCCAAGACTTGTTGTACATAAATAAGTTAAAGGACATAAGACATTTCCATAGTACCTGAGTAACTGATTCATCAGTAAGTGTTAACTATTATTACTGTATGTTTTTATTTTTATATCTCCCATCACATATATGTTATACTTAATATCAGAGACAGGTCAATATATGCTTTTTTTGAAATAAGAGGAAAAGACAAAAGATAAATATCACTTTTTAACATGAAAAATTCATAGAACTCTTGTTTTCCAGTGAAAAGTGGTATTTCTGAAAATACATTAAACTAGGAAGAGTTGGGTCCTACAGAGAAATAACACTCCAATTATTCTCTAACAAGTAGTAATAAAAGGAGAATTTGCACATTTAAAAGTTGTACACTTAACTCCAAGATAACAACGAGCCTACCAACATTCCCTGCAAGAAACAATGATAATTACCCAAGGCATTATTTTACTAAGGACCCTAGAAATAACCTTGAAATGTTTCTAACACATTCCTGAGAACCAGCAGAAAAGATAAAACCTATTTGCTATCTAGGTCTGGTCTTATTTCTCCAAGTTGAGAATGTAGGGAATTTGATTGTTGTCTGTAATTTTGTTTGCTCTAAATTAAGCAGAAAATATCTTTAACTCTAAGCTGGAATATATAGGATCATTCCTGAAGTGAATCAATGTTTGTGAAAATAATTCCAGACCTTTAATCTGATCTCAAGTTTTCTTTTCTCTTATCGTTTCTGGTTATTTTTTATGAGCGTCAGTTGACCAGTTTAAAAATTCAAGTCACTGTCTCAAGGTTTTGATTTGAACATGTTTACCTAATGACTTTCTTCATTCTGTTTTTACTCTTAGATGATAGATCTCAGTGACAAGCAAGATTTTTGTCATCACTCTGGAGTATTTTGAACAATCACTTAAACAAGAGCATAAATAACATTGTGTGCTACAATATGTGCGTTTCCTTTTATAATCATTGTGAATCATCTGATTGTTCACATACTATGATTGTGTATTTTAAGAAAATCATTTACTTGCTGTCACTTGCATTTTCCCATTGATTTTGAAAGCTGGTAATGGAAATGATGAACTTGCTTTCTTTAAACTGAAATTAGAATGATGACACTTGTATATGCGACTAGTTTGGAAGAATGGGTAATTTTTGTTAGCTTACTTCTGAATTGACAAAGTGAAGACAAAGAACATTCTAGCACCAGCTCGGCATTCATTCATTCAGTTGTCAGTCATCTTTTCAAAATTTTCAGGCCCATATTATGCCACAATATTTATATTTACAGACTTGTGATTATGTCACCGCGCTCACTGCACCCTTTCTCTCTTATTTTATTTTTCAAATTGACTTGTGCCTGGATAGTCACTGAATTGCATTGCTGCTTTGTTTATAGCACTTTGAACTTACATCCAAGATGTAAGAGATTCTTAAATCTATCTTAATTCCCCAAGCAATATAGATTATCCTCAAAGTAGTATCATGTTAACATAAATAGCTTAACGTAATTGATTCTTGTATTTAAGACTCTGAAGTGTTAAGTGTGAAAAACCTCAAATCCAGGCTTCTATAGATATTTATTTTATGCTGTGTCATATGTGTCTATATTTTAAGAATCTACTTCATGTCCCTTTCCCTTTGGATTTTTATGTAAATAAATTCTGAGTGTAATGTGTTTATGAGTATTAAATGCCATGTGCTGGTCTCCTGTGCTATAGTAAAGTACATCCGTGCCTTCCGAATTTCTCTGGCAACTGTCTCCGCATTCACTGTCTTCCAATCAGCATCTGCAAATGTAACCACTTAAATCTGATCCCCCTGTCTGAATCAGTTATTCAGATAAAAGGCAGTCAAGATCTAAGCCCTGCTCCATGTGGGACCCTCTTAATACTTCCCCCTAGAATGGACATGGTTTCTCTTACCAGGAGTGTCTGTTTTTTGTTTCTTCCACTCATTCTTTATCTACTCCCATGTCTCCTCCTAGATTCTTTCGAGCTCTGTCTTAAGCAGGAACCAATTATGCAGACTTTAACCAAAGGCTTTCTGAAATTCAAACAGTCATAACATATGTACTGTCATTCTCAACACTGCTGGTACCACTTCAGATTGGAAAAGATGTAAAATAAGCAGATACGTTTTCTAAAACTAAACTTATCATTTCAGTTTTATTCTCTGGGCAAAAAAAAAAAAATTAATTAAATTCATGTGTTTGCAATCTTTATATATATATACCTATATATGCTTTATAATGCGTAAGAGAATTCGGCAGATTTTTAGAACATTTACTTGATTGATTTATTTTCTTTGAATCATCGTTGAACTAACAGACTATTCCGCTTTGTCCACTTTCTGTCAAAGTGAAATCGTAAGAGCCATATACAAGTAAAATGTTTTTAAAATGTTAATGCTCCAGTACTGGTTTTTATGATTACAGAAATTCTCAGGATTTACTTGTGGCTACTCTTAGAAATAAGCCAGACATTTGAGTTAATACATATTCTTTGAAGCTACATTTTATTCAACTCATTCTGCTGTACCTCATTATTCTACTGTATATGAAAGCACGGATGGTGTTCATTTCATTCTTAAATGAGTTAGTAAGACTTTATTTGGTATCATTACAATGGCTATATTTTCTTAGCTTGAGTTTGATTCAGGGACAAGAGTGGCATGTAAGCTTATTCTGTTATTAAGTATTTAACAGATTTCTCAACCAACCACATGGAGCTGCTAGCAGGCACTTGATATGGCATTATGAACTTTATGTACAATATCATATTTATTTTTATCCTCACAGTCTTTTTAAGTTGATGTCAACAACTTCCTTTCTTTTCAGATGCAAAAATCGAAATTTAGAAAGTATTAGTAACCTGCATCACATCTCACACAGCCAAAGTACCAAAGCTTGGATTCAAATACCAGAACCATCTGAATCTAAACGATATTTTTAACCACTCACTATGCACTGCTCCAGAAAATAGACACGCATACAAGAGTCAAAAAGAAAGATGACCTCTCAAGAAAATCTCAGTCATGAACCCTAAATTCAGAAACCCTGCTCTAAATTAAAGAGAAAGTTAAAGGAAACCTTGAGATTTCTTCTGGGTTCGCCACCATATTTTACAGGAAAAGGAAAGGACAGGAAATAGGAAACTGGGACAGAAACTTAGTCTTAGAAATTATCATTTGTTTTTTTAGCTAGAGAAGATGTTGGTAACTTTTTCTTAAGCCGTATAGTAAATATTTTAATGTCTGTGGATCAAGATGTAGTCTCTGTTGGAACTACTCAGTTGTGCTGTTTTAGGTGAAAGCAGACATAAACAAGAGGAAAAGAATGAGTGTGACCAGATTTAACTTGCAGTGGTTCCCACTAGCTATGTTTGAGTAGAGCATACAACATACTGTATTTTATAGGATCCCAGGTTTTGTAATCAGAATACAGGAGCAGGTGCAGGACAAAAGTCATCGTTATAGACTGACTGCTTACTCTACTCTCTGTTACAGTCTCTCAGTCATTATATATTAATATATTGTATCAAGAATAAGGGCTTCTTAAGGGAGCTGTGTTATCATCATCAGAGATCATACTAGGACAACTAAGTCTACTCTGGTGAGGAAGATAAGTATCAGTTACTAGATGGTAAATGTAGAGCTTCTCGGATACTAACAGTATAATATTTAGTGTGAGTGCTGGGTAGTGACAAGTTCTGGAAGAAATTAGTCACACAGTTACAAGGCTCATATTAGATTTTTGGAAGGAAGGATAACATAAATGTTCAAGTAAAGAATTCCACAAGGAGATGTAGAAACGTTAGTGGAAATATTAGAAATTATACTGTGAAATGGTGTTTGACAGTAGGGTTTTAAAATGGTCAACATGCAGCCAGTAGGGAAACAAACAAAAAAAAAGTTGAAAAAGATGTGAGAGCCGAAAATGGCAGGTGAAGATGACCATTCTTTTTAATGAAAAAATGTTGTTATATAAAACAGACATTTTGCATAATTCGCTTTGAATGAAGCATCTTAAGAAAAAATGCATATGTTTAGTCTTTTCCACCTCCAAATGTAGGTCAAGAATAAAGTATTTGGTGATGGGAGGGTAGGAGAGATGGGATAACTATTGCATAAAATTTACACATGCAAGAATATTAATGGGATAAAACTATTACACAACAGCAGTCTCTTGTTTCTTCACCAAATCTTATCCTGACTTTACCCATTTTCGTGGCCTCCTCCTCTTTTTCACCCAATCAGATCTTTGGTCCAATGATTGTGAATGTTTTACAGGTTTCTCATTAGACTTAATTAGTTTCTCTCAAAGTTATGAATACTACCCAGGCATCTTCTGTATTATTTGGACCCATAAAGCAAAAAGGAAGCCACATCTCTAATGTCTTTCTGGTTTGTCATTAATATAAACAAAATATTCAGAACTATTTTTTTAGTAGGGGTTGAGATGTTCAAGAACATAGAGATATTTCCATTTTATCTAAAGGAAAAAATGTGTCTGCTATATAATACTAAAGATAAAACTTAATTGAGTCTATCTGATGATGATGAAGAAACAATGCAGCATTTCAGATGATTTAACTGCATGCTTTGTGCTTAGCCTTTTTCCCTCAGCACCCTGTGGATTTCTTCTACAGCCATTCCCGTCTTTGAAGTCAGTGGGAGCTCTGAGCCTAGAAAAGTCACCCAGAGTACAGAAGTGCACAAGGACAAGTCTATTTGACTTTGTGTCCTCACAAGGATCATGGAGTGGTCAAATTAGTAAGCAGGAGGGAAAAAAAAAAAAAAAAAAAAAATCCTAACCATAGCCAAATGCAAAACAAGCATTTTTCTTCTTCTTCTTTTTTTTTTTTGAAGTTCAATATTGTTTCCTTTACTTTTTTTTACATTTTGTGTTTTTACCTTTGCCCTTCCTGTTTCCAACAGTGATTAGAAGTACTGAAAACTCTTCAGAAAGTATGTTCTGTTGATATTTCTAACAGGGACTGGAGCAAAAAGTATGACTTATGAACCTCTGCCCCTTTGATGCGCTATCACGAAAGCTGGGAGTGCAAAGTGTGAATGTCTCAAGCTTACATTAGCTCTCAAGGGATTGCCAAGACCAAGCGGTCATTGACGGGATTTCAAAAGATGAATAACCAAGCAGACTCCTTTAGTATGCATTAGCACTAATAATTAGTAGGGGTCTTTACCCATGCTTTTCTTAAGGCAGAAATATTTAATGTCTTCCCTTAATCATGTATGATTTTCAACAAGTATCATTTATTAAAATATTTTAAATCCTTAAGAAAGATATTTTATAAATCCTTACCATATGGCCTGTCACTACATGTTAATAAGCTATTAGTATTTATTAAACATACAATTACTGCCTTATTAAAATAAAAGTTAATGCTAATTGGAGATAGTTAATTTAATGTATTGCTACTTTGGCTAGTTAATATCAGCCTCTCCCATGCGTTCCAATAGATGAATAAGAAATTTAATTACTGTACATTAAAATTTTCTGGACAGTTTACTTTTATTGCGCTATAGGATTTACTTTCTCTTTTAATCTTCTTTGACTTTCCTAAACCTATATCAATTTACTTGGTAATTTTTCAATCACATAAGCACAAGATATTTTCCTTGGCTATGCAGTCAAGGAAAACACCTGGTGCATAGTGAACTGATAGGTGGATTTTGATGGGGTTCAACTAAATTTATTTTAATTCAATAGATGTTAATTGAACATTGTTTACATGTAAGAAACTATGCTAAACATTTTGGGCATAGAGAAAGAGACCTGAAAGGAACCAATCAACCTTTCTGGTTTGCTCAGACCTCATGTGTACATGGATACAGAACTGTTCGTGCTAAAACAGAAAATTCCAGGCAAACCAGGATTAAT